GCCTCGTGGTAGTCATTGCATGTCATAGCTACTGGCCAGTTGGCTGGTCACTTAGGCTTTTTTATATACAGATTTTTTTTACCTCATTAATAATCCCTTTCTTTTCTCATCTTTCTCCCAACAAAAGTATTTTAATGGGAATTTTTTTTTTTTTGTAATCCTTACCCAAGGATATGCTTATTTATTTTTAGAGAGAGAGACATCAATTTTTGTCCCCGTTGGTGCATGGGACAATGCTCCATCCAACTGAACCACTTGGCCAAGGTTCAATGGGATTTGATTGGCATTGTGTGAGATTCTATGGACCTGTGCTTCTACCCTCTCACCCTCAGTCCTATTGTTTAAAGATATCTGTGTTATCATGTGCGGTTTTGTTAATGCCTTTTATTTAGATTTATATATCTTTTACAAAAACAAACAAAAAACACTTAAGGCAATTCAGTGATCTAGGTTAATTAAAACATTCACTCCACTAACCAGTATGATTCATGTACCATGTTCTCTGGGGAGGGTCCCAGGAGGTTTTTTTAAAGAACAGGAGAGAAATTAATTGCTATTGAGATTCTACTTAGTGCCCAGGCTGGGCTATGCGATTTTTCCAAACATTTTATTATTTAACCCTAATAACAATTTTGTCTCCTGATAGTGAGGATATTAGTTTTGGAAAAATAAAATAACTTGTCCAAAGCCTCTCAAATTCTAAGTGCCATGCTGGGGTTTTGAGCTTGAATATGTCTGACTTCAGAGTCTAAGAGTCACAGAGCTGAGTGTGATTGTTGAAAATCTAATATATCTCAAAGAGGCCCCTTTGTTCTCATGTCTTGATTCCCCAATGGCTAATATGATAAGGATTATGTTTTAAACCTAGAAAAATAGGTGGGCTGTATTAAAAGGACTTCATATTTAGAAATTGCAATTTTTGTAAGCATATAACTTCAAATATATAGCCATATACAGAATACTATACAAAGCTTATTAATATTTTTATTTTTTAAATATGTTTTATTGGTTTTTAGAGCGAGAGGAAAAGAGATGGAGAGAGAGAGAAACATCCATCTGCTGCCTCTTGTATGCCCCCACTTGGGCATGTGCCCTGACCAGGAATTGAACCTGCGACCCCTTGGTACATAGGGCTGTGCTCAACCAACTGAAAAACACCAGCCAGGGCCACAGTTCTCTTTCTTAATATTATCTGAATTATTTCTACAAATGAGGGAATTCTGAATGTGAGCATCTTGATAGAATCTTCAAGGATAGAACAATGTGAACAGTGGAATTCTTCCTACTTCTTTCATAAAGTGATTCCCAGCTTGAAATGACCATACAGATGGCCTTTTATTTTTCTTCATTCCTTTTTTCCTAATTAAAAGTAGATCATTTTCTGCCCTCTAATTCCATGGACAGGTAACACATGAGTGCTTTGTCTTCATGTGGTGAAAGTTGTTCTTTGATATAGGGAATTGAGATAATGGCTGGTAACTGCAAGTGATTGGGGCTTAGGGTCATAATGAAAACTAGGAGTTTGGATGTGATTGGTGACAGTTGAGAAGTAGGAAGCTAATGCAAATGGAGGATTTGGGGGGAGAGTTCTGAGCTCCTATACAGTTACTTCCAAGGTAAAATAGAAATTATTCTCATTACTTTGAAGCATGGATGCATAGAACAGAATAACATCTCAGTATATGGGAGGAGAACTTAGCCTAAGATTATATATGCATAAACCATGGACACAGACAATTGGGTTAGGAAGGCCTGGGGTGGTGCAGAAATTGGGGGGAAGGAGGGGAAAATGGGGACAACTGTAATACTGACAATAAAAAAAAATTATCATTTTTAGGGTATAGATATGACTCTTGTTAGTGTGGATCAAATATTAATTTTCAGCAAATGAGCATGATATTATATGATATTAAAACCATCCGAAACCGGTTTGGCTCAATGGATAGAGCATCGGCCTGCATACTGAAAGGTCCCGAGTTTGATTCCGGTCAAGGGCATGTACCTTGGTTGCTGGCACATCCCCAGTAAGGGGTGTGCAAGAGGCAGCTAATCGATGATTCTCTCTCATCGATGTTTCTAATTCTCTATCCCTCTCTCTTCCTCTCTGTAAAAAAAAATCAATAAAATATATTTTAAAAAGATAGTAAAACCATTGGTTTTATTCACAACTAAAGAGCTTTAAAAGGCTCATATTTGGACATATTGGTGGTATAACAAATGTTTGGTTACCAAACATAATAATGACAGTGAAATTTAATTGTTTTATGATGCTGTACTTATTTCCAAAGGAAATATAATTCATATATAATCATGCTACTATACTCAAAATATACATAGATAGAAGTTTGTGTGTAAAAGATAAATTTGTGCTGTACTGCACTTGAAAAACATGCTGTGAATCTCCAATTATGTTAAAAAATTATTTCCTTAGTGCAGCATTATGCTCATTATATACTCTACACATTTAGCTTTTGAATAGATTCCTGGCATGATAATTACATAATCATTCAGTACAGTAGAAACATCATTATGGTCAAATACTAATTAGCTACTAAAATGAAACAAAACAGAACCTAGTTCACAGCTTATTATAAAAAATGATTTAATATTATACAAAACCAAATGAATGGTAAAAGTTATTATTTGCTTTAAATATGAGTCATTTCTTTTTTTTCCCATGGGAAGGAATCAGTGTTCTGGATGCTTGTTACCTAATTTATTTTTTGGACACATGTTACATTTTATTTTCAGAATCTTTATGACCAATTCTCTGTATTAGAGCATCCAAAGAACTTGCCAGGGAATTCTAGGCTTAGTACCAGCGTGTGCCTGAGGGCTTCTGCACAATTAGGAGTCTGGGAACATGGGGTTCAGTAGTAAATTACTCCTTTCTAGGATGCTGATTTGAACATCTTTGTTGCTGAGGATGAGTGATCCTCAGCTATCTTTTCTTCCCCAGTGCACTTTAGGAACAGATTATCATCCTCTTAGTAACAGTGAATCTTGGCCATTGTGATTCTCCAGTGTGTTCATGATAGAAGAATAGCCAGGTACAATGTTAACTCTGGTACAGAGCAATGGGAGGGTGTAAAGAGGTTGATAGATCACTTAGGTAAGTCAGTTAGACATACCCTGCAAGGGGACATTACCCTCACACTCTTTGAAAATTGCTTCTGTGGATAAAACAGGATTTATCTAATATTAGGAGGCTGCAATGGTCTTTGTAAATATGTTTCAACTGCATGGCTTCTACTGCTCTTCTATTTATATAAAATCCTCATATATGTAAGGGTTCTCAATTATTTCAGAATATTATTTTAATCATATGTGCTTCTCTTGACAAACACTTTATAAGTCAAACACTTTACAGATTTTCTTTATCTTCATGTTTTCCTGTTGCCTTCACTTTAGTTTTGGTCTCTATAGGTATTAATTTTATTTCTTAATGAACTGTTTGTAATGCAGTTGAAACATACAGGACACATATGTAAGATAAAGGAATATTGCTAGACTGATTAAATGATGCTAGCTTTATCCTACCACCTTCATTGTAGCAGCTAAAACTCGGGGAGAAAAGCAGTGCTATCTAATTTTAGTTCTATGTTCTTGCAATTAAAAAATTGTATAGGGATACAATATTTCAGATCATGACAATAATCACTGATGAATCAGTGAGTTATAGTATTGGTCAGACATGGTCTTTGTAATATCCTTTTATTTAATTGAAGATAATATGATACAAATTGGTTAAAGTTAAAATCAGATCTTGCAAAGGCTTTAGAATTCATGAAGTCTGTGATAGTATGGTCTAGAACATTTCTACTCAGAGGAAAAGCCATAAAACAGTGAATATCTGGCCGAGTCATGCTACTGAGAAAACTAAAGATGTTAGATTCTTCAACTGAGAATCACTGGAATATCAAGGAATAGAGAGAGGACTTTAGGAAAAATGATGAAATCTTTGATGTTTTAAAAAACAAATATAACTATATTTAAGACCATCCTGTAAAAACAAATGTTACAGGAAGGATGTTATAACGTACTAGTATAAAAACTGTTGGAAAATGTCTGACCAAAACCCCACTCAGTTTTGTTTTTTCCCTCCATTCTAAAAATAACACTAGTGGCGAATATTGCCTAAAATGATTTAATAGTTTTTTTAAATATTTATTGATTTTGTACAGAGAAGAAGGGAGAGGGACAGAGAGTTAGAAACATCAATGGAAGAGAAACATTGATCAGCTGCCTTTTGCACACCCCCCACGGGGGATGTGCCCACAACCTAGGTACATGCCTTTGACCAGAATCAAACCTGGGTCCTTTCAGTCTGCAGGCCAACGCTCTATCCACTGAGCCAAACCGGTTTCGGCTATTTAATAGTTTTTATTTTCCTTTCTCTAGATAAGTCCCAATCAAATATTTGCATTATTTATTATAAAATTTTATCCCCTATTTTAAGTGAATTAACTTCAAATTTTTTTTTCAGAACTGAGTCTCTTGGATTTAAAATATATGTGTGAATTATGTGATTCCACATGTATAGTCATACATTTTTGCTGTTTTAGTGGTCTAAAATGAATGTCAGAATTTTCATTGAAATTAATTATGGTTAAATTGCAAATAATTTATATATTTCTTTAATTCTGCTAGATTAAGCAAGGATCAAGATATTAGATGTATAGAGCTAATTCTTTGAGACAGATCATATGTATATCAGTCATTTTCTGGGACATGAAAATAACTTTATTACAATCCTGTTAATGGCTTCTATTTATATATCATTTTATTCTGAGAAAGTAAATCATTGTTTCATTACCCTTTGAATTGTGCAGTATTTGTTGTGATGAAATTGCATGTTCTCCAAAAGTTTCACCAAAATATTCTATGTAATTTCTCCACATGTTGACTCTATGACTATCTATGAGCTGGGGATCTCACAAATAGCATTAAAGAACTGCAAGTGTTTTGAGTCCACAATAGTGAAGCAGCTGTTTTTGCAGGTATCTTGTGGTCTATAATCCTTCAGAGCAAGAACGAACCTCACTGGTCTCAGTTTATGTGAGTTCCCCCACAGTAAAAGTGTCCTCTGCTTCGGGGAAGCCTGTGAAAGTTCAAATGAGTGCGGTTTGGAATACAGCCAGTACTATTTCACAAACAGCTTATGAGGTATGTTTCTGCCACAGAACTTAGAAGCATCATTAAAAAGGTATGGCCAGTTTATATATGTATACATGACTCCTAGAGCTGTCCAGTCATTGTGTATGAAGTGGTTAAAGAGGTACTTACCAGGGGATTTAACTGACCAATTAAATGACACAAGGAAAATAAATTCTGTGTTTCCCAAAATATTAATACATTTGTTGGTATGTATATTCTGTGTTACTGTTAGTACATATTAACATGTATATTGTATATTTTTGTAAGTATATATATTGTAACTTTTTCCTGAAGTAATCATTACTTACAGAATATGGTTTTTTTTGTTGTGGTCTAACTCAGTTTAATGACAATTACGAATATTGATATTGAGATAAATACCACCCTTCTACATAATTTTGGGTATGTTCAATTTTTTATTGCAAAGGAGAGACATATATCATGAAAGAGTTATTTCCTAAAATAAGTAAGATGCTTCTTCTCCAAGATATAATTAGGGAAAATCTGGACCAGGTAACAGGGAGGGGGATTTCTTAAAATAAGCAATATGAAACTGAACCCCAACATCATTAGTCAGGTTGAAATTTTAGAATCTGGAGTACAGTTTTAACTGTTACTTCTGAAGACACAGACATAAGTGAGGAACTGTAAAAGAGATTTACTTCCTTTTGTCAAAAGCCATTGTTGGTTGCTCTAATAAACTGAGAATCTTTTAAGTAGAAATGAAAAGTTTTATACCAGTTTTGGTAAGATGTTATAGGAAACACCCCATTTAGAAAATAGAACAGTATAGTTCCTAGAAGGTCTTATCTTACAGTATGTGCATCCTCTAAACATTGTTTTGTGTCTGCTAGATCCCAGGCATTGGGTGGCTGGTGTTGGCTGAACTAATATGCTTAATATTTATATTATTACATTGCCAGTTTTTCTGTTTAATTTATTGAAATATAGTATTGTAAAAAGATTCCTAGTAATTAGGAAAAAAATCATTGTTTGTAGTAAGGCCTTATTGTTATGGGGAATTTCTCCCTCTGAACATTTATGAGCACTATAAGACAGTTGAGAATAGTCGCATGATTTCATTTATTCAGGGAAAACAATGTCTTTGATAATCCTACTACTTTAAAGTTATTAGGGTACCTGGATAAACTGAGATGTTGACACTCTACCCTTGAGTTATCAAAACATATTTATAGAATTAGTTTGTTCTTTTCACAAGTATAAATGTGTTGTTGTTTTTTAAATAAATTTTGTCTTCTGTCTTTTAAAGATCTCTTTTCTAGCACAGATGCCACCATTGGGACTGCAAGTGTACACACTTTTGGAATCATCGAATTCATATCCACATGTAGCTGAATATGCCCTGTATAATGGTAACATAGAAAATAAAAGCATTTTCAATGTGAAGAATATGAAAAATGCTGAAGAAATAACTTTGGAGAACTCTTTTATTAAGCTTCAGTTTGGTCAATCTGGGCTTATGGAGGTACGTTCTGAATAGTTCTAAAATACATAGAAGGCTTATTTTATTATAATGTGTAGAAATTACTTATGCAAAGGGGGAACAGTCTTCGCAAATACTCTGAGAGAAAAGGTGAATGAGCTCTGTGAACCTTCTTCTTGTGGTCTTAGTGACCACTTGCTCCTCACAAGTATAGTTTGTGGCTGGTGCTCCTTTGTGAACTGCTTGTAACTGGTCCACAAAAGTGTAGAAGCAGTGACTGTTTAGAAACGTTTATGGAAAATTTGAAAACAATTTGACAGAGTCAATTTATGCCTACTGAGTCTATAAAAGATTTGAGTATGTGTTTGGTATATTACCTTAAATTTAATTTTCTAATAGTTCACTTTTATTGTACCTTACAAAAATATTGGTTCATGCATATTGGAAATAATAAATACACCTGCTCCTCCACTACAAAGGATTGGAGAAGCACTGGTCTCAATGCTTTTAATTTGTGTATCTCTTTCGTTACAAAAGTGTGTTCTGACTTTTTATCCCTATTGTGAAGGTTTTTAATTCTAAGGTTAAGTATAACATTTTGAGTGTTCACCCAAGAATTGTGAGTATTAGAGACTATTAGCATTTTTTAATCTATCCTGAGATAACTTATTAAATTGACATATATAATACATGGAACCAGATGCAACATTAATATTTTATACTGCGTTGCCTTTAAAATTTTTCTCTTTAGGAAATGATAAATAAAGAAGATGGTGAAACTCGTAAGGTAAAAGTCCAATTTTCATGGTATGGAACCACAAATAAAAAGGACAAGAGTGGTGCCTACCTCTTCTTGCCTGATGGGGAAGCCAAAGTAAGTGCTGGAGAGCTGAGTTATTCTAGAAAATAATTTGGCCACTGGGTCATATTTCTTCATAACTTTTAGTACCTTAAAAAAAATAACACCCTTTTCCCCACCCTTCACTGAAAAGGTAGTATATGCAAATTTTGACACATTTTTAAAATACAGAAAACAATAAAATTTATCAACTATTTCATAAAAGCCCATGGAAACCAGCGCCAATATTTTGTTGTATTATTGTCTTTTATACATACCCCTTTTCCACTATTTGTAAGTTTTGTCTTATTGTATTACATGTTTGTTTGTTTTTTTTAAAAATATATTTTATTGATTTTGTACAGAGAGGAAGGGAGAGAGAGAGAGAGTTAAAACATCGATGAGAGAGTCATCGATCAGCTGCCTCTTGCACACCACTACTGGGGATATGCCCGCAATCAAGGTACATGCCCTTGACCGGAATCGAACCCGGGACCTTTCAGTCCCCAAGCCAACGCTCTATCCATTGAACCAAACCGGTTTCGGCTGTATTACATGTTTTTCATTGCAACAATGCTCACAATCTGATGGTATAGGTTTCAAAAAAAATTTTAATGTGCACTGTTGTGTTTGAGAAGTTTTAGTTATAAGATGAATAGGTTTGAAGATCTGATGTAAGCCATGGTGATAGCTATATTGTATAATTGAAATTTGCTGAAAGTAGTGCTTCATTGTTCTCACCAAAAAAAGAAAAAAATGTCTGTGTATATGTAATAAAACAATTCCTATTGTTGTATATGTACATTTTCCACCAATACTTCTTTACTGTAACATTGTAATAATCTTTCCCTGAAGCATTATTTTTATGCAGTGCTGATTATTGCCTGAGAATAACTTTCCAGAAGAGTCCTTTTGTGTTAGTGGATGAGACATTGTAAAGCCTTTGATACATACTTTTCTCTCTGGAAAGAGTGCATGTTCACTCCCATCAGTGTTTTTTGAGAATAGCTTTCGAATACTATACCATTTCATGCATTGAGAATTAGCCATTTTAAAAGCTTTACCTATAATAATAGGTGAAAAATATTTTAATGTTAATATTTTTATGAATATTAGTGAGATTAAATTTTTTACACATTTACTTACCTTTCATATTTCTTTTGCGAGTTTTTGCTTAAGTTCCTTGATCATTTTTCTATTGATATAACTTGTAGATCTGTAAGTGTTCTTCATATATGATAAAAATTAATTCTTTTTCATATATATTGCACAATTTTCTCAATGTGCTATTTAATTGGTTAATTTTTATTTTATTTTTTGATTAAGGTACTTTTAAATTTTTGTGTAGTCCTGTATTCTTATTTTTTTTAGATTTCCTTTCTTTGCTTTTATTCTTATAAGGTTTTCTCCACTTCAAGATAAGTTAAATATTTTCCATATTTTGTTGCCTATGTCACTTTTGTTCCACAATTTAGAAATTGTGGAACAAAATTGCCTGCTAACTGAAATCAAATATAAATTTTAAAGGATTGTGTAGGTCATGCTTAATAATTCTAGTTTTTTTGTTTGTTTTTAGTTTTTTAAATTAGTGAGGAATTAAGGAAAGGTACAGCTTATAGCAGGCATTCCAGGATGTGTAGTGGGCCATGTTTCCTCATCAGTTTTTGTCATTGAATAGCATTTTGCTTTGTCTTGTACTTTAAAATAAATATATAAACATGTATACACATACATTTTTGATAGCTCAATTGATGCTTCTTTTCAGATGAAACCCACTAAATTAATAATTATTCAAAGTGTGTATTCACTGTATAGTCATATATCTGTGCTATGAAATATTATGCATGGACCATAGTAACTAATTTATTTAAAATCATTTTATTTTTAAATAACTCAAATGTTAGATAGAAAGATAAAGAAAATTATCATGTGGTTAGAAGAAAAAATAAAAGCATATCGGGGAAAGAGGTAGCTGGGTATATCAGACAAAAAGCAGGGGCCCAGAAATCACTGTTCCAGGTTTCAGCCCCTCCATTACTTTCTAGCTGTGTGTTCATTAGGTAAAGCATTATATTACTTTCAGAACATTTTTCCGTAGCCAAAGAAGTAAATTTGGAAGAAAATTACATAGTTCTGAAAATCGTATGCTACTTTAGTAGTTCATATTGCAAGCCTAGCTTCTTATACTATTGTTGAACTTTCTAAGGTGTGTAATACTTAAGAAAATATAACTCTTTATGAATGCTTTAAATTTGTTCACATAAGTTACGCATATTAGTCCCATTTTTTTTTTAATGTAAATTCTAAGTAATAAAAACTAAATTAGTGGGGCTTTCTCAGGTTTATAAGTTTGCTTTATAATCAGCTAGCTCTTTCAAGTAAAAGGGCAGTGTATTTTTAGGGTAGTAAACCTAACTGTGATTAAACTGTGTTTCTGAATCTTGCTTCCTGTTTGTTTAGATGACTCCCTGTGGTCATCTTTGCCACCTGCCTGACCTGGAACATTAGGGGGCCACGGTTATAAAAAACGTTTGCCTGGGAAAATGTCACTGCTGCAGAACGAGCACTTTATCTAATAAGTAACATATGGACAAGAGAGAAGGACTTTAATCAGAAATGTTTATGGCTGGGAGGAATGTTTGTAAATCTAGACCAATCAAGTTGTAACATTTTTATTTTCTATTTTCAGTAATTATTGTATAATGAAAATTAATCTTATAGCAAATGCATGTTACACTTTGTAAGGTTTTCACTTAAAATTGCAAATATCAGGTGATATGAATTTGCCATTTTGGAGATTATAATAAATATTTCTTAGAAAAGTTAAAAGCCAAAATATTTTTCTAAAAATGTCATTTTCTCTTCAGCCTTATGTTTATACAACCCAACCCCTTGTCAGAGTACAACGTGGAAGGTTTTATTCGGACGTAACTTGCTTTTTTGAACATGTTACCCATAGTGTCCGACTGTACAACATACAGGGTAAGAAAACAGAGAAATGCAGTTGTGATATATGTGTAATGGTTCTTGAATCCTTGCTTTCCTTGTGTTGTATTTAATAAATTAGAAGTTGGATTTTAGAAATGGTCTAAACATCATCTTGACATCATACTATATGATTTAAAATATAATATTTACCCTTTGATAATAAAAAATGGTAAAACATTTAACTCTACCCTACATATACATGTTCTTTTTTTCTGTATGTCTTCTCTTTCCTACCATCACATTTGTCTTAGTTATGAGCTTAATTTTATTAAGATCTAAAAATAGTGAGGTTATTTTATTTTATAGGAGGGAAATTATGTCAGTGAAGGCTTTCAATTAATGATACACACACACACACACACTGCCTTAAATGTAGAATGTATTGTAATAGCATGCATTACTGGAATTTAATTTTAAAATAATGTTCTAAACTAATTCTCTTTGTTCACTACTCTTCAGCTATTAGAGTATAACATTAGGCAATTATTTATTACTTTTAGGTCAGTGTTAAGAAGCATATTTATTAATTAAGTGATAGAAATAGCCTTTGATCTTTTTAGGAACTTAACTGTGGGCATTAGCATTAATCCTTCATAGGATCTAGATGGAGTTGTGGTTCCCAAACACTCTCAGAATTATATTATATGATATCATGTCTATTGATTTTTAATTCAGTTTTTTTAAATAGAGTACTTTTCCAACCATAGGTTTTATCCTAGTAGCCAGGCCATTTATAATTTATCAACTTGTTTAAAAAAAGACCTCATGAAAATGCCACTTTAAATTTTTCTTTGCTGTTAGCTAAGCTGAAAAAAAACTAGAAAGGAAAAATACTTTCCCCTGAGTCTTCATACAGTAGACAATAAAGCATTATACACAATAGTGTTATAGGCAGTTTTTAAGTATTGTGGAGAAGCAGAAAGACATTCAGTGTTCAGGGACTCTCTTAGCTGAAGTTTAATTTTCTAATTTCAGTGTCTAAATTTAATTTTGCTTTTTAAACAAAATTTTTAATACATATTTTATTGTTTTCATCACCATATATCCCCTCTATGCCTTCTCCCACCCCCTGACCCATGCAATCAACACACTAATGTCCATGTTCCTGAGTTCTCTCTTTTTTTTTCTTTTTTGCTCAATCCTTCAACCTCCCTAACACCTCCACCCCCACCATCAGAGGGTTTGCCTTTTATTAGAATTTCAGGTATTAACAAAGTTTCCCATGTGATATAATGATATATGTTCTCAGAATAACTCATGCTTCATAGATTACATCAAGAATTAATAAGTCTTCTAGAAAGTGGGAAGATGTTTTATACAGTTATCTGCACTTAACTTTGCTACCTACAAAAAAGTCTGTCGTTCTGAAATAATCTTTTCCTAAAACCTCTAGTAAATCAGAAATAATATTCGTAACCATCCCTTTGTATTTTTATATAAGCCATTATTTAACATCTTCTAGAGCTCTAAAACTACATTTTCAGCTACAGTACAAAAGTTTCGCTTCCTGAGTACAAATTATCATACAGGAGATATACTTACTTGATTTTAAATTTGCTTAAATCTTTTTTTTTAATGGAAAAGTCTTTTTTTAGTATAGCCTGGTGCACACTGACGTAGGCTGTGTCATTAAGCTTGGTTAACCACTGTTTTGCATCAGTTCTGTTTAGAGATAGACTGCATCTCAGAGTGAGTGCTGAAGCCGCAAATCAGAAAATTCCAACTTCTTAATCAAGTGAATTTGCTTACTTGCTTTGCTTTTATTTGTTTCTGTGATCTTCACTGCAATATCTTAGTTTTTTGAGTTGTTCAGGGGATCTGGATCTCAAATAGAGGGTTGTTTCTGTATGTTAGAGGGCCTGCTTCTGCTGCTATGGTCACTTGCTATCTTGCGTCAGTGGTCACTTTGGAAGTTAATAGGCTCTGATTTGTCTGTGTACTTATTTCAAGGACAAATCTTTAGAACTGAGTGCTTGTATTTTCTCATCTCCCCATCTCTCCCTGTTCCCCAGCTGGGCAGCTGGAAATGTCCAGCAGCTTAGTAGCAGGGAAGGGATTTTAACTGACTCCTGGCTGCCCATGGTGTCAGTGCTGGCTCTCTGAATAAGACACTTAAAGTATTAGCATAACAAAAATAACAATAAATAAATATGCAGACCTCAGATTACCTCTGGATGTCTGGTTGGAATAAATTTGAACTGAAACATTTCTTCCCCCTGATACTTTATTTTTGTGGCTTGAAAGCAAAAAGCTTCCAAAGTTTGCAGGAAATGACAAATAAATACGTTAGTAGAATTTGAAGTTAATGTAGCTATGCCTCTCTAGATCAGTTTCACTGTATTTGCTTGGATTGAAATCTGAAACTGGCATATCTGTCAAACCCTGAGCATTTTTTCCCAACATGAAGATCATTGGTGGGAGATGGAGCTGCCAGATCACTAAAATACTTTCTTGCAAACTGTATAACCCTCCATGTTTGTATTTGAACTTGTCTCTACAAGTCTCCCTTCTGGAAAAAATAACCCCAATCGTGGAAACATAATACCTTTTCTCAGTAGCTCTTGTCACCCACTTCCATCTGTCCTTTTCTTTCATGTCTTTGCAGGAGGGCTTAAGTGATCTGATCCCGACTCATTGAGGTTTTAATCAGATCACTAATTAAGACCTACAACAGAGATGTGAAGTCTTCAGGGTGGGTGACTCTCTAGGTGTTCAAACTACCTGAAAGGGGTTTGATTATGCTGTTCCAAAGCAAATGTATGAACAAATACTTGAAAGCTCTTCTATGTTTTAAACTTTGGCCTCATGTAAACCAGGCAGCTGGGTGATTGATCAAAATGCATAGACAGAATAAGGCTTTTCATCTTGGGTACAAAGAAAACTTCAGCCAACTTCCATGCTTTCATAGATTGGTTTTTACTTAATATTTTTTTCAATTAACAAAAGTACATAACTTCAAATTTAACTTATTTAACTATTTCTGAATATACGTTAATTTTATACCCTTTAAACTGAACAGATACAATTATTTGGATAAATATTAATGAGTATTTTTTTAGTACCAAATTTATGATCCAGAAAGAAATGGGGGTTGGGATAGAGAGTGTCTATTAATGTTTTATGACTACATACTGTAATTGTATTAGTTCACTAAACCAGTTACACACAGAAAATGAGTTACAATTATGGGTTTTCTGTCTTTATTGAGTGTCTAATTCAGCTTAATGAAGTATTCTTTTAAAAGACTAAAGTAATGAAAACCTGACTAAATATCCTTAAATTTCTTAATCTCTTTTTTAGTTATTCTTTGGCTCTTCTCTTCCCAAAGTAACTTTTGTCCAAAATAAGCTTTAGGAGAAAACAAAATCAAACAACCTTTTCCAAATTATATAAACTACTATAGGCCCCGTGCACGAAATTCATGCGCAGGGGGAGATGTGTCCCTCAGCCCAGCCTGCATCCTCTCCAATCTGGGACCTCTCAAGTGATGTCTGACTGCCCATTTAGGCCCGATCCCTCTCACAATCCAGGACTGCTGGCTCCCAATGGCTCGCCTGCCTGATTACCCTAACAGCTTCTGCTTGCCAGCCTGATCATCCCCTAACCACTCCCCTGCCAGCCTTATTGACGCCTAACTGCTTCCCTCCCTTGCAGCCTGGGTTCCCTCCAACTGTCCTCCCCTGCAGGCCTGGTCCCTCCCAACTGCCCTCCCCTGGGGCCATCTTGTATCCACATGGGGGCAGCCATCTTTGACCAGATAGGGGCAGCCATTTTGTATGTTGGAATGATGGTCAGTCTGCATATTACTCTTTTATTAGCTAGGACTAGAGGCCAGTGCATGAAATTCATGCACAGGTAGGGTCCCATGGCCTGGCCAGCAATGAGGACCCATCTGTGGGGCGACTGGCAGAGAGATAGAGTGGCCCTGCTGGCACCTGCCATGGCTGGCCTGGGGCCTGCAGCTGGAGGCAACTCCTGCATTGAGCATCTGCCCCCTGGTGGCCAGCGTGCATCATAGTGACCATTGTTCCACCAGTCATTCCACTGTTCAGTTGATTTGCATATTAGGATTTTATTATATAGGATATAAAACTCACTTTCTTAACTGTAGGAAGACGAGGGCTTCAGTTAGATATAGCCATCAGAGAAATATTACTAATTTTGAAATAAACTGAGCTGAGAGGGGCCTGGGTTCAACAAGCCTGCTGATTTTATTTTAGTTTGTGATTTAACTTTAATTTTTCTATTTACGTTCTCTCTGGATGATGGAAATAATAAGAGGCACAGTTTAAAGTCCTTTTCTTAACATCACCTAAGTTATAAAAAGTGCTGTGTTTTTCTTTTCATTGTCATTTAGACATTACATTCAAATGGTTTTTAGAAATATTGATAGTAAATTAGAGGAAGTCCACTAGCTTTTAAAGCTCCAAAAGATTGGAGTGGTTTTAGAGGTTTCTAATGAAACATAATGCTTTGCCTTATGTCAGGTTAAATAATAAATGTACTTCACAGAGACTACAATTTAATGAATATCCTTTTGGAACTATTTCTTGATTTCTAAAAGTTTATTTAGTTTGTAGCAAATAACATTTTTGTAGAGGAAAATATGAGAGGTGGAGGTTCATTTTTCTTGTAGTGTAATCATCTTCCAATGAAGCTTTAAATGTTACCAAATAGGATACTTTAGTTTTTGTTGTTAATCATGGATTGGAAGGTAGAAAGTGATACAAGCAGAAACCCCTGTATCCCTTTGTGTTATATTTGATATTTTACCATCACAAAAAGTACATGCCTTGTGGTGACACAGTGATCAGTAAGTGACATTTGCTAGCTATGGCTTCATTTGTCTTCAGAGCTGTAATTACTAGACTTTGGTGCCCTAGTTTTCTGACATCAGCAGCCACTTTGAAGAATTATGTTGTTATGGGTTACCAATGTGTCATGTACATTTTCAGTGGCACAAAGTTTAGGTTCTAGATTTGTTATAATATGTA